GGGTGCGCGCGCGGTGTCTGGTCGGGTGCGCGCGCGCGCGCGCACCGCTCACCGCCTGCTCGCTCGCTAGTGCTGCTCGGTGGGTTTGACCCGCGAGCGGGCGCGGAGGAGCTAGATCGGGATCGCGTAGAGACCATCGCAGAAACTGCAGCGCGGGTCGCGGCGCGGCGGGCGCGGCGGGCCCTGCACAAGACGCCAGGCTCCAAAGGTGGGTGAATTTCCAGCGGGGGCTGCGCGAGCTGCTCCAACACGCGCGCCGCCTCATCCCCGCTCGGCTCGGCAACTCGTGTGCGCGCGCGCGTGTGTGTGTGTGTGTCCGCGCGTGCGTGCGCGTGAAAGGGGGGCCGAGAGCTTATTTTTAGTTTGGGTCCTGTTGGTTTGGGGCCGGTTGAGTGGCCGAAGTGGCGGTGGTGGCTAACACCTCCTTCCCACCCCCCCCACCACCACTTGCCTGTCCACGGCGCGGGCTCATGTCCCTGAGGAACGAAAGAATCCGGGTGTCTTTAACATCGCTCCCCCTCCACCCCCAGAGCGGCCGGGAAAGTGTCTTGGTCGCCGGCGGCGCGGACTGTCGAGGCCGCTACACTGGGCTTTGTTTTCTGTGCCCCACTCGCAGGCACTCTGCGTGGACGTGGATCTGGGGCTCCGGGCAGTGGCCCGCGGGCTGGTCGGAGATTGCTGGCACCCGGCAGGACTGGGAACACGAGAGGAGGAGCCGGTGGGTAACTCAAAAAGCCCTACAAAACCGGGCTAGCGCTGGCAGCGCGACTTTGCAAGGTGCCTAAATGTTGAGCTTTCTGGCTTGTTGAGAGCAGGATTATGTCGCTGGCTAGGGGAGGTGGGGGACAGGCAAGAGGCAGCCTGGGCCGCCGCCCACGGCCACGGAGCCACGGGGTAACTGCTTGTGGCAAGCGTGTCAGTGACGCCCCAGTGCCGTCGTCCTCGCGGCCTGAGCTGGCCATCTCTTCCTTCTCACCCAACGCACGCCTGGGTCTAAAGAGGCCGAAACTCCAGCAGCTGCCCCTTGTGGGACGGGAGCGCGCGGAGAAATGTGTGCGCAGCGGGGCCGAAGGCTCCCGCAGCAGGGAAGACTACCCAGCCCGGGAGGCTGCTGCTCGGGCCAGGGACCCGAGAGGGGGCTGCGCGTCGGCTTCGGGCACCGGGATGCGGCAAAACATTGCGGTACGCGCCAGCGCCAGGGGCCCCTCCGCCCGAGTCGCCGCCAGCCCGAGGTAGCGCACAGGGGGGCGGCTGTGGCCGGGTCTCTTCGCGGACCCATCCCAGCCCTAGGCGGGCCGGCAGAGGTTTTTCACGTCAGCTGCCTGGGAGCCACCTTGGCCCACTGCTCCGCTTCGGTGGTCTACCTTCCGCAGGCCGGCTCCCTTCGCCCGAGCGCAGAGCGTCAGGCGCGGCACTCTCGTAGATGCCGGATTTGTGGGAAGGCTAGGTTTGTGCAGTACTGGCCGGCCGTGGGAGCCGAGCGTTCTGCGGGCAATGAGAAACCGAGACACAGATAGGGAGACGGACCGCTCTCGGCAGCCCGAGAGGTGGCACTTTGCATACAAGTCGTACTCTGCGTGGGGTTTTTGTTGTTGTTGTTGTTGTTGTTGTTTGTTTGTTTGTTTTGTTTTTTTGCTTTTTCTCTCTCTTTTGCCCTTTTCCCTTTATTTTTAAATGTGCACGTTGTAGTGGTACCAAGTGAATGTGCGCTTTCTTTGGCTTACATTCAGTGCCCCTTTTTACCCTTTTATCTAGCTCCCTTCTCTGAGCTCTTTCTCCATTTCTCCATAGTCTCTTGCCCTTTCAGTACCTCTTTCCCTCTCTCTTTGGCGGACCCGGCTCATTCTCTCCCTTGCCTGCTTCTCCAGCTGCTTGCGGCTTCCTCTGCTTCACAAGAGCTGCATTTGGGAACTTCCTAGCTTGTCCTTGCGCCTCTCCCCTCCCCCCCCCACCCTTGTTACTTAAAGTAGAAATTATGAGGAGGAGGGCAGCTTCTTATGCATTTTCAGATTTCTGATTTCTTTGTTTTGGGGTGGGGGGTGGTGGTGATTAGTAACAAGAAATGACTCAATCAAAATAGCTGTTAAAAACCACATCTATAACAAGGCAAAAAAGACCATGTGAAATTTTGATTTTACAATGGAAGTTGGTTTAGGTGATGTCATACTTAAGAATTATGACTTCTTTTTGTAATGCCAAGCATGCTATCATGGTGAATAGGGGAGATGCCCACGTATATGGCAAGCAAATAGCATCTCGGCAGTATTCTGAACCACACTACTTAAAATGCATATCCTCCTGGTCATGGCTTATAGGTTGTCTACTTTGAGACATGTTCGGTTTTACTACTAGCTAATTTCTCATGGGCAAAATAAACAAAGGAGTTTCTTTGTGACACTTCTTTTCATCAGTCTCTCATTGTGTGTTCCTGGTTATTTATTTAATCAATATTTGGCGGTGACCATATTGAAATTGCAGGCAGATTCCAATTCATGATGAAAAAGATTCACATGGCTAAAGTTGCATCAATAAAATGCACGCTGATGGTGTTCCTTTTATCTTTTCTAGGGAGCATTGTATATGTTTATGTATGTATGCAATATTTAAGGAGCTGGCTACAACGGGTTAATTTGCTAAGCATTAAACTCTACCAACAAGTGATTATTTGTTTATGGACAGGGACATGGAGGTGGTAATGTTGGGGAAGTGGGTGTTTGAGAACTGATGATTGTAGGACAAAAATTGCTATACTGAATGGATCTAGTACTGCAGATAGAGCTACTCAAAGATTGTAGTGTGTGAACTCCTCTTCCTCCGCACTTGCCGTCTGTAGTCAAGGTGAAGGAGATAAGCATTTGAGCCAAGGGCCAGTCAGAGCTTGGGTTCAAAATGGCAAATGAAGGGATGAGAGAGGGCCAGGCAGGCAAGAGAGCTAGTTCAAGGAATGGAAAGTCTACAATGCAGGAGCAAGCAGGTTCTTCTCCTGCCTTCAAGGACCCAAAGATAAATGCCCCAACCCCACTCATTTGGAAAATAACTGAAAGGAAACTAGATACCATTTATTTACCTGAAAATAAAATTTGGCCAGCCCCTACTCAGTTGTTTTTCTAGAACCCCACAGGGTCATCTGTGCTTTTGAAAGCAGCAGTGTACAGGAGTGAACTGACTCATGGCAGTGTGGGCTGAAGCTCAGGCAAATCTCTTCCCAGGGTGCCTTCCACCTTGGTCTTTTAAATGCCCCTCTAAACTACCCAATCCCATTTACATCCTCCATTGAACCTTGGGCTCTAATATCTTTTCTACTCAACCTCTTTACCTAGCAGCTGAAGCCTAGGGAATAGATATCCACTAATTTAAATGCCTTTGTGGTATAAACTACATGGCATACTTGGTGGCCTGCGTTGGTCATTTGAGTTGCAAGTAGGAAGCTTAAGGCCTGTCTTCAAGGGCAGAGCTCAGCGTTGCGTGTAGAAAAAATATTTTCAGATTGTTAAGGTTTAAGCATGCTTAAATCTCTTTTTGTATTGTTTGTTGTATATCCTACACATGCAAATTTTGTATAAAATATGGGTATAGAAATAAAATGTATGGCAATTTTAGTAGTTGTTATTTTTTGACTGAGTGCAAATATTTGGAGTTTTGGGTGTCTTAAGAATACAACACCTAGTAATTAAAGCCATGTGTTCACTATGGTATGATTTAAACACAAATAATAATTTTTAAAGTAATCACCATTGAAAAATATTTTCTTTTTATTTTTTAGATTATTTCTCTTTATTCAGAAGCATAAAGTTGTTTGCTGATTACAAGAAGATGTTTCTTTGGCTCTTTCTGATTTTGTCAGCCCTGATTTCTTCGACAAATGCAGATTCTGACATATCAGTGGAAATTTGCAATGTGTGCTCCTGCGTGTCAGTTGAAAATGTGCTCTATGTCAACTGTGAGAAGGTTTCAGTCTACAGACCAAATCAGCTGAAACCACCTTGGTCTAATTTTTATCACCTCAATTTCCAAAACAATTTTTTAAATATCCTCTACCCAAATACATTCTTGAATTTTTCACACGCAGTATCCCTGCATCTGGGAAATAATAAACTGCAGAACATTGAGGGAGGAGCCTTTCTTGGGCTCAGTGCATTAAAGCAGTTGCACTTGAACAACAATGAATTAAAGATTCTCCGAGCTGACACTTTCCTTGGTATAGAGAACTTGGAGTATCTCCAGGCTGACTACAATTTAATCAAGTATATTGAACGAGGAGCCTTCAATAAGCTCCACAAACTGAAAGTTCTCATTCTTAATGACAATCTGATTTCATTCCTTCCTGATAATATCTTTCGATTCGCATCTTTGACCCATCTGGATATAAGAGGGAATAGGATCCAGAAGCTGCCCTATATCGGAGTTCTGGAACACATTGGCCGTGTCGTTGAATTGCAACTGGAAGACAACCCTTGGAACTGCAGCTGTGATTTGTTGCCTTTAAAAGCTTGGCTGGAGAACATGCCATATAACATTTACATAGGAGAAGCTATCTGTGAAACTCCCAGTGACTTATATGGAAGGCTTTTAAAAGAAACCAACAAACAAGAATTATGCCCCATGGGAACAGGCAGTGATTTTGATGTACGCATCCTGCCTCCATCTCAGCTGGACAATGGCTACACCACTCCCAATGGTCACACTACCCAAACATCCTCACACAGATTAGTGACCAAACCACCGAAAACGACAAATCCTTCCAAAATCTCTGGCATTGTGGCAGGCAAAGCCCTCTCCACCCGCAATCTCAGTCAGATTGTGTCTTACCAAACTAGGGTGCCTCCTCTTACACCTTGCCCAGCGCCTTGCTTTTGCAAAACACATCCTTCCGATTTGGGACTGAGTGTTAACTGCCAAGAGAAAAATATTCAGTCCATGTCTGAACTGGTACCGAAACCTTTAAATGCCAAGAAGCTACATGTCAATGGCAATAGCATCAAAGATGTGGACATCTCAGACTTCACAGAGTTTGAAGGACTGGATTTGCTTCATTTAGGCAGCAATCAGATTACAGTGATCAAAGGAGAAGTATTCCACAATCTTACTAATCTACGCAGGCTGTATCTCAATGGCAATCAGATCGAAAGACTCTATCCTGAAATATTTTCAGGCCTTCATAACCTGCAGTATTTGTACTTGGAATACAATTTGATTAAGGAAATCTTAGCAGGCACCTTTGACTCCATGCCAAATTTACAGTTACTGTACTTAAACAATAATCTCTTAAAGAGCCTGCCTGTTTACATTTTTTCTGGAGCATCCCTTGCTAGACTGAACCTGAGGAATAACAAATTCATGTACCTCCCTGTCAGTGGGGTCCTCGATCAGCTGCAGTCTCTTACACAAATTGACTTGGAGGGTAACCCCTGGGACTGCACGTGTGACTTAGTGGCGTTAAAGCTGTGGCTGGAGAAGTTGAGCGATGGGATTGTTGTGAAAGAACTGAAATGTGAGACACCTGTTCAGTTTGCCAACATCGAACTAAAGTCCCTCAAAAATGAAATCTTATGTCCCAAACTTTTAAACAAGCCATCTGCACCATTCACGAGCCCTGCGCCTGTCATTACATTCACCACCCCATTGGGGCCCATTAGAAGTCCTCCTGGTGGCCCAGTGCCTCTGTCTATTTTAATCTTAAGTATTTTAGTGGTCCTTATTTTAACTGTGTTTGTTGCTTTTTGCCTTCTTGTTTTTGTGCTGCGACGCAACAAGAAACCCACGGTGAAGCACGAAGGCCTGGGAAATCCGGAATGTGGCTCCATGCAGCTGCAGCTAAGGAAGCATGACCACAAAACCAATAAAAAAGACGGACTGAGCACAGAAGCTTTTATTCCACAAACCATAGAACAGATGAGCAAGAGCCACACCTGTGGCTTGAAAGAGTCAGAAACCGGATTCATGTTTTCAGATCCTCCAGGACAGAAAGTCATTATGAGAAATGTTGCCGACAAGGAGAAAGATTTATTACATGTGGATACCAGGAAGAGACTGAGCACAATTGATGAGCTGGATGAACTATTCCCCAGCAGGGATTCCAATGTGTTTATTCAGAATTTTCTTGAAAGCAAAAAGGAGTATAATAGCATAGGTGTCAGTGGCTTTGAGATTCGCTATCCAGAAAAACAACAAGACAAAAAAAACAAGAAGTCACTGATAGGTGGCAACCACAGTAAAATTGTTGTGGAGCAAAGGAAGAGTGAGTATTTTGAACTGAAGGCAAAACTTCAGAGTTCCCCTGACTACCTACAGGTCCTTGAGGAGCAAACAGCTTTGAACAAGATCTAGGTCATGCAATCTTACTTCATACAAAGGACATTTATTTAATGATGAAAGTGCCTTTTGTTGACTTCTAACTTCCAAATACTATATTATCAATAGGCATAGAGGCAAGTGTTTCCAAGGGTGTCTCATTAACTGTAGCTGCAAAGACGTGTCAAATAGAAGATAATTTACTTAATAGATGTACTACATGAAACCTATACTGTGGAGTCCTGTGGGGATACTGCAAACTCTATTGCCAAAGGGATGCTTAATACACATAATACACTGAATTTAACCTCAAGAGGCAACTCTGTTTTGTACCCCAATGCAAAACTTTCGTCTCTTTGTGCTTTGCAAAACAAACTCAAGAAAACTGGTACCACTGTTTGTACCTCAGCTGGGTCCTTCATCTTGCACGTAGATTAAGTTGGTGGAACTGGAACAAAACAATCCTTTTAATTTGTGGCATTGTAACAAATCTGTGTAAAGATTATCTGAAAAGTTTTTTTAAAAAGCATGCAAGGACAGAACATTCGATAGTATTTGTAAATCGATAACCTTTATGGCCTGCATCTTGAAACCCCTGGATTTATAATGTTAAATTGTGCAAATACTTGTTTAAAATATACCATGCATTACATAACTATAAAATAAATTTGAACAACTTAAGCATTACCTGTCTATACATAAAAACCCTAAAGAGGAAAAAAAAATCAACGTGACTTACATAGCATTCGTGGTGATCTGAAGAAATACATGATGTTTATCAGAATTATTCATGGCTCAAATTAAACTAACACTAGAGTTTGTTCTTAGTTATGTGAAATACCCACAATCCTTAAAGGTTGTCCCAAATTAGCAAAGTGCTTACCATGTGAGCGCACCCAAAGCTATTTTTGTAACATAATTCATATTTATGAAGTACTTTGTATACTAAATAGGAAAATATGTACTCCTAAATATGTATTTAATATGCTTGACTTGTCTTCCTGATCACAGTGAATTTATCAGTAAGTACAAATTTAGACAGAAAAAATACACTGAACTGAAACCGAAGCTGATGTGTACAGAAATATTCTGGACTTTGTGATCAGGTATAATTTACAAACAAAAAAGGAAAAAAAAACAGTTATGTGCTATTCTTGTGAATTTAGCATATTCAGATTTGTTACCAATTGTGCATTTTAAAATAGGTTCCTTAGTTTTATAGTATCGTGTCTGGGGCAGTTGTTATTTGCCATCAGTTGTCTTGCTTTTCAGGATTCTATGAGCTTAATTCAAATAGTTTTCACTATAAGTATTTTAAAAATTAATGAATAAGGTTAATAGTTATATCGTGTATGCATCTGTATCCTGTTCTTTCATCATCCTGATTCCTATCAGATAATCTAGTAAAACCGTAAACATCATGATAAATCTCGGCTATCAAAGCCACACTGTAAATGCTTCCATTGGTCTCAAATGAGTTCACGGTCTGCAAGTACACCTGATATGCCCCCATGTTCACTTGTGCTTTTAAGTTCTAAGTCAAAATTGGTCAAAAGAATGATGAAATACTTGATAATGGGTGATACTTGAAGATTTTTAGGAGCTCTCAATTAGCAAAGTGATATGATATCCAGAAACACATTGCCTTCTTGCCCTTCTTGTGTATATGTACATATTTATATATATGTATATATATATACATATAAAAATATACACACCCATATATACATAACTACATGGGTTTGTATATATAGTGCTACATCTCTAATAATTACTATATTAGTCAGTAAGATAATCAAGAAGGTAAACATAGACATTCTACATGAATTTCAAGTTGCAGATGTTTTGGTGCAGCTTCCAAAATGATACTATGGTTGAAGTTGTAACAGCAGTCCCTTTATTAATCACTAATTTCAGGGCTTTACATGTTCGTTTCAAGATAAAAACAAAAAACCTTGGCATTCTTGGAAGTGTGTGTGTGTGTGTGTGTGTGTGTGTGTGTGTGTGTGTGTGTGTGTGTGTGTGTGTGTGTTTGGGTATATATTCATACATATAGATAATTTGGAGATTTTTTTTTAATAGCAAAAAATGTCTCCACATGTATGTGCTGGTGCTCTTAAAACCTTAATGTGTAATTTTAATTTTCATGACAATGTCTGTGAAAACTTTATATGAATATAAAAATCCAAACAAATAATTGCTTTCTGATTTTGAAAGAAAAGACAAAATGTGTGTTCAAAAGCTTTTTTTCATCTACAATTTCATAAGGACTTTTAATACGCCATTACCATGCATGCAGGCATCCATGGATTAAAGGGCTCCTAATGCGTACCAACAGGATAAAATTGCAGAGGCTTCAAAGAAAGTGGTTTAGTTTATCCTGTCAATAAAGTATGGATTCAGGAATCTTAAATAGACACTTATGGGAGGAACCAGAAAGCTCCATCCATGATCTGGGAGTAATAGGTCATTGGGATGATGCCTTTTATTCAGTGTAGTGATGCTATGAAGGTATTTCAGGGTTTCTGCAGAATTGTCAATGGCAAGAGTACCTGACACCATCTCAATGCTTGCTGTAGCATACTGGCTATTTCATACTCTTCTGCTGAAAGGTGTAAATGTTCAACTTTAGAAAAAAAAAGTAATTTAAATGTGTGTGGTTTTTGGAAGTTCTTATTGTAAATGAAAGTAACAAATCCTTGATTAAGGCTGACATACTTTCCTTAACTAAATTCATTGTGCCTACATTATACAGTGTATACTATTTTGCACCTGTCTCTCATTAGTTCTACTTGTACATTTTATGATAATGTAGTTAGATATAAGTTCTGAGTTGGGTATAAGAGCAGTTTAAATACTGTTTCTACATCGTGTTGGCTTCAACTGTAACCTTGATGTTAGTTTAACCCCTTGAGGTATGATATGTATGTTGGTACAGTATTTTTAATAGAACTTTGGTTCAAATCTAGAAACTCCAAGAAGTGCTCATTTATAATGTGATCTGACACATCATGGGCTTCTTGGCATTACATTCATGTGTATGGACTGTGTTAGAATGATTGCAAAGAAAATTAGATCTTATGAAATCAGTGAAGGGGTTGAGATAATATATTGTGTCCATGTAATATAAATCAAGTTTTAAATTATTTTTTTATGAAATCAATAAAGATGATTCAATTCTTTAAAAGTAAATCTTTGTGTAATTTTATGGGAAAGCAGCTATTAAAGTACAGTGTGATTCAAGTCTATAAGGAAATTTACATTCTATATTTAATTTTCCATTCTGAATAATAAACTGAATAAATATATTAACTAGAAAGTCATTTAAGACCATCTTTCTTTTGTTGCTCTTTTTACACATTTAATTTTTTAAGCCATAAGGATGCATAAATTATCCAGGGCATGGCCTCATGGATAACGTCAACAAGTATTTCAGAAATAACAGAGCGCATCTAGAACTGTATGGTGGTAATATTAATCTATAATACCTTTTGCATGATTTGTACATTGACATTGTATTAAATGAGCACAGTGAGTTATTTTTTTGTTGTTGTTATTGTTGTCGCATCCAAAGAGTTGAGGAGAAAATATATTAAGAATGTATTTATAATTACTATTTTGGAATAAAGTAAAGAAAACACATTGTATTGTTTTTACCCTGGCTTGATTATTAGTATTTTAGGTTAGTTTATAAGACAAAAATCAAGTAATGCCATAAAAGGTAATGTAAATCTCAGAAAGGAACTGTTTTAATGACTTTTGTTTGCATTTAATAACATAAAAGTATTAGAAAAAATTTATTAAATGCCATTTTTATGAAAGTATTAATAAAATTGTTTGCTACAATGTTTTTTTCTGAAGCCACAGTTTGTTGAATATATTTATCTGTCCATTATTATTCAGAAGAAATAAAGCAGTAACCAAACTGATAATTTTATGCAGATTTAAGGGTAAGATATATAGCTTTAAAATACTATTTGTATTCAGCTTGCTAAATCTCTGTTAAAAGATGCTTTCTGTACAAACATCTTTGCAATCTGTGTTCCTTTCCACTGGCAGCCCCTTTGGAGAAGAGTCAGACAATGCCAAAATCAACATGATTTGATTCTTACCCATTCTCAAGCAGTTGGAATCTGACATAACTTCAGAAAAGCAAATATTAGTATTCAATCCTAACAATCTACTCAATATTCTTAGAAAACCTTTAGGACCTCTACATTCTATGGTCATCTTGACTGGTTAGAGGTTAGTTACCCATTTACAGGGTAAATTGTAATTTTTTTTTTTTTTTTTTTTAATAGGCTTATTTTTTAGAACGGTTTTGGATTTGCAGATTAGACTAAGTAGATAGTACAGAGTTCTCATGCATGTCCCCAACACATAGTCTCCCCTATTATTATTAACATCTTACATAATATGGTGTGTTTGTTAAAATTAGTGAACCAAATTTTTTTTTTTTTTTTTTTTTTTTTGTGACCAGCAAGGGGACCAGAACCCTTGGCTTGGTGTCGCCCGCACCACGCTCAGCCAGTGAGTGCACCGGCCATCCCCATATAGGATCTGAACCCACAGCCTCGGCGCTCCCAGCGCCGCACTCTCCCGAGTGAGCCACAGGGTCGGCCCAAATTGCAATTTTTATTTTGTTCTTTTAAAGATGACCAAAATTATCAATCCATCACTTTACTGTACTTATTACAGTTGAGGGAGATGAACTAACTGCATTATGGTTAATTTAAGGTCAGAAAAAATATAAACAGACTGTATTGACTAATAAAGAGGATTTAAGACATGTTTACTTACAGAAAGAGAAGTAAAAATAAAAAGAAACAGAGAATATAAATTAAAATTGCTGTGGCCTTAACGTTTGTAAGTAGCTGTGCTGAAGGTGTGAACAGTACAGGTAGCATATCCCAGTCCTTTGGGACTAAATGTCTGGTGTGTCACAGAAGATGCATCACAAGTTTGTTTTATTTTTATTCTTTACTGAGCACAGGGCTTTGCGTCCCAACCACTCTGTTATGTAGTCAAGAGGCATCAAATCGAAGTTTGTCCTCATTTCCAGTGCTTATCCAATTAGTCACTCTGGTCGGATGGGCTGAAATAAAATATCCTGTTTGTGGATTCACTTACCAGGAATACACTGGTTATATATATCAAGTTCACCTGATATTTGTGAACCTTCAATTTCAGATTTCCTAAGGATCTTCCATTTATTAATTTAAAAGCAAGTGGGAGGTCAGATGAATTTTAATAACTTATTTTGTACGATACTCCCCTTAATCTAATTTTGAATTGCATTTCTTTTTTTATTTTTTAGTTTAGTTTAGTTTCCACTGGTTGATACGATTGCACTTCAGAAGAAGAAATTGAGGATGGGAAATTGTGTTGTCTATCTTATATAAAGTAATAGGATTTTAAATTTTTTAAAAAAGTATTGTTTTTATGTCTATAGAGGGAAAAACGTAGGGGTCTGAGACACTTGAATACTTTGGGCCAAATAATTGCTATTGAGAATGAAATGATTCAGATTTCTCATTAATTCATAATCATGAAATCCACAGACTGTAGAACTCAGAACCAGGAGAGAATTACTCAACCCTCCACTTTAGTTTACTTTTGTAGACACTGCCTAAATAGAAATAGAAGTTCTGGCAATTTCAGAAACACATCAAAAATGAGAAAGT